GCTGTGGTGAACCATTCACCTCAAAAGCGCGCTTACACCCTCATGATTCTTCTTATTTCATATTTTTCTTCTCAGATTGATCCTCATTGACGTTAATTCTCCTCGTCATTACTTTCACTCTCATCAGAGGCCCAAAACTCCTTTAACTCCAACTTAGACAGCTTTATATATGAATATGAAGACAGAATCATATCAGAACCACATTAAGCATTATATAGACATTTCATAATGAAGTAAGACTTATTCCACTCACGTTATTAGCTTGAAAAAGACTAAAGTAAACAGTATCGGATCGGAAATACATAGCAATAACAGAGAATCGTCAAGTGGTAACATGTTAAGCATCACGGATCAACGATACTGACCTGTTCATCATTGAATTTCCGTTCCAAGGTCTTCACACGTTGTGGTTCATCTAATTCATCCCAAGGAATTAAAAATGGATTTTACTTTGGAGGTTGGCTAAGTGTCTACCCATTAGTAAATTTAATTATCAGCATCGAGTACAGTAATCACCTAGACTACATATGGGAGAGTTTGTGTGAATTGTTATCCATTAATTTAAAATTTGTTCAAACCTTTACAATGTCAGCCGCCTATCATTGTGCAAAAGAAAATTCACGTTGGACCCAGTCTCCAAGCTTGCATGGCAACAGGCAACCGCGGTTTCTTCTTCACTATCACATTCATTCAATTGACTTTACCGTTCAAGACTCAAAAGCCAGCCACTCATTTCTCAAAACCCATAATCCAGACTATAAATCTTCAAGCTTAAACTAGAAATTAACAATCTTTCTCGGAGAATTCTGGCTTTTTTCTCTCGGAAATTTTCAGGCGAGTAATTGGGAACCATGACTTGGTTAAGCACGCACAGTTGGGCGGTTGTGTTACTGGTGGTGGGTTTGGGCTCCGGCAGCTGTTACGGGTTCGGGACGTTCGGGTTCGATATCCACCATCGGTTCTCGGATCCGGTTAAGGGAGTTCTGGGTGTCGACGATTTGCCGCCGAAGGGGAGTGTGGAGTACTATAATGCTTGGGCCAAGCGCGACCGGATATTTCATGGCC